CACTCAGAACTATTTGCTCCGGTGCGGACCACCGCACGTTGTACTTGGTTTCTGTATCCCCGCTAATCGTGGTGCGGACCACCGCACGCTTTTAGCCTGGAATTTTCAGATTTACGACATTATCCTTCATGCCCAAATCTAAGACGCGACGTGGGGGAGTAAAATACCGTGCGCGCCAATTACTTCTCCAGTACACGAGACCGGTTACGGAAGACAATTCAGAATACATCGGTGTTCAAAGAAATTATTTTGACTACGAATGCGAGGATCTGTGCAACGCCTCCGATCAGTTTTCCCGGCGCGAAGGATATAACGCTCATCGGCCGTGGCCCTTCACTCTCATCCCCCTCAGCTGCAATCAGTCTCCGATCGACCCAGTGCGGATACCACTAACTGACCCCAGGAGGATTAAGTACACCTCAAGGCCGACTACACCTGGACTTTAGGATTGGAGATCTAAATACATTTCGAAGACATCCAAGTAGTAAGTCTAATTTTCACAATCATCTCTCTTTCTTTCACCTCTCTCTCTCTCTCAAACACCTCTCCTTTTGAAAATTGCACGAGGTTCCGCCCTTGGTAAAAGGAGTTAATTCTCTTGACCAGAAAAGGGAACCACGAACGATTGGTTGAGGCCTCTAACAAGGTAATATCGATCTTTACGATCGTTGACCTGTTCTCAGCCAAGGAAAATCGTTCGGCTCGCACGGTCGCCTCTCCTCATACCGACCAGCGAGCAAGCACCACAAATTTATACTTTTATTGTTGCGTCCGTCCGTATACCTGACCCGCCCCTTTCCCTCCGGGTTAGGACGTAACATATACACAAGTAAAAAGAGTAAGAGAATCAATCTTTCAAATATCTTTTCTAAAAATTACTCACTATTTTCGACTGAAGCAAAATTGAAATACAAATTTTTTTGTTACTTTATTCATTTATTCTCCTCATTGTAATTTCAATTTTTTCATCGACAATAATTGAATGTTGTCTAATATTTTAAATATTTTCGTAGATTCTACCAATTACTTTTAATTTGTAATCAATTAATCCAAAAACATAATATAGAGCAAAATAAATAAAATATTTCAACTAAATATTATTTCATAACATTTAATGCAATTTAATATAATTTAATAAAAAGAATTAATAGTGCAAAAATACTGTCGTAGTGAAAGTTTATAGAAAATTTTTTTGAATGTGAATTATAATGTACAATATATTTATACTTACCGCATCGCAGTAAAACTTTTTTCGAGAAATGATATCAAAAAACGACAATGCTAAATTTATATCTATTATATAGTATATTATACATATATAGTAGTAAATAAACTGTGATACACTGCCAATTTTAAATCTGAAATTATTTAAAATAAATGCACAATTAACATATAAAATATTATTTAATAATCAATCCTACGGAAAATATGTGATTTACTTACATTATTCGCACTGATTATTCTTAGAGTGAGAGGTTATTGTGCGTCTTGCGACGTAGTAGTGTACTGCCGAGTCAGACTTTGTTATTCTTCTTTCTTCTAATGATATCTGCTCTCAAAATGAGAGTCCTCAACATTTCACGTATTAAATACACATAGAAGACACAATTGTGCCGAAATTGTTAAAATGTTGTATAATAAAGAACAGCGAGAAACGGATTACGCACGTGCACGCACGCGAGACCGGAAGAAACAATGCTGCCAACGATCTGGGCTGCGGGCGGCAACGCGCACATCATGCCGCCCGCAGCCAATAACGCGCTCTTTTTAGTCCAAATGTAAAAATTAATATCTTGCTTATTATTGCTCAAATCGCAAAACTATAAAGGATTTTTCTACTCGGTTTAACCCACTCTACCTGTATAAGAAAGGTGTTTCATCATGTCGGGGACACTCTGTATATATGTATAGATATTTTTTTTTATTATATATATATATATATATATATATATATATATATATATACCATATATATATATATATATTTAAATAAATATCCATTAAGGTCCGCGCGCTTATAATGCATTTACTACGGTACATGAAGGGCAACTCGGCCCATTTAACAGCATTGAGAGAAGATGTAAATTACGTCTTGCGTTTCCGTGAGACACTAAGTTTCATCCATATATTCCCAGTATTACAATCACTGAGCGGCTAAGGCTGTGTCCGAAATTGACTGCCGGTATTGAAAATCTGTAATATACGTAACGTGAAATATAGATTTTTAGTACTGGCAGTAATTTTGGAATGCAGCCTAAATAGTATCGAATGTGATTAGTTTTTCAAATTATTATTAAATTTGAATTATTATTAAATTATTATTAAATTTAAAGATAAAAATATTAATCATTATTTATGGCAATACTCCTTAGTGAGAAATACAAATCGAAAAAATGTCTATTAAATATCTATTATGTCTATTAAACGTTTTTCCATTCACTCAACGGAAATGTGAAATAAATATTTTACGAAAACGATTTCCAACAGATTGTAATAATTTTTATGACAATAAAATGTGCTACAGCATTTCCGCTTGTTTGCGCAGGCAATCGTTGTCTGCATAATGCCTTTAGTTTGACCTAAACAAAATTATTATTGTCTCGATAATAGCAATATGATGACAACTGAAGAGAAACTTGTGTCAAGCAATCATTTTCCTTTTTGTACCAAAGACGCTTTTGCTATCTGGGTACATATTTTTTAAATTATATACTATTAATAAAAATAGTTAAAAAAATTGAAAACACGACATTGAAAATAATAATTAATTTATTTAGAATTTTCGATCTTTATACTGAAAAAAATGAAAAATATTAGTTTTATTTACAAAGACTTTTAATGAATTATATTCATACTTTATAATAACATTTTCTAAAACTTTTATATTTATTATAATTACATATCACATCATGCTTGGGAAAAATTACATACATACGTAATTTTTCAGCACAGAAAATATTGCAAATTAAATCTTGTAAATATACGAATATCTATGTGATATAAATTATTAAGTTGTAAAACACGGGAAGTTTCGGACAAATCGGTCTTGAAATCCTATGCGATTTCACGAACCAAGCGTTGGAACGGCAATTTGGCAATTTTCGTATCAGCAACTCACAATCAGTTACTTCTGGTATCTTCTAATTTCTCGAAAAACCACAGTACCAGGCCTGCAAAAATTACAAAACATTCTATAAATTCTAGACATTGCACAAAAATTTAATCAATAAGCTGCAACAAATAATTACAAATCTATGTACAATAGTCTATAATAATAACCTTTATATACATGACAGTTATAAACTCTACAATGGTCCTCTCATAATAGGATTATTTCGAGTAGCAATTTCGTATTGCCATTCAATTTCACCAGCTTCGCTTACAAAGTAGTCCCTTAAGTTATTTCTAAGTTTGATGGCATCAGCGGCTGCATTGTTATTACCCATCCTTCCAATTCGTTGGAATATATTTATATCAGGCACTTCTCTACGCCATGCACCATTTTGAAATAGCTCACCATGTGACCCTTCCTGGTCAGTCAACCCTTGAACATTGTATCAATGTTGTTGATTGGCAATTCTTCTTCAGAAGACAGGAGGAAATTATGGAGCACCATCAAAGCTAACACTATTGTTTCACAGGTCTCCAAATTGCAGGCGATGCTGCCTTTCAAAATGGTCCACTTTGCCACAAGAATACCGAAGGCATTTTCTATAACTCTCCTAGCCCTTGAGAGTCGGTAGTTGAAAATCATTTCTGGCATTCCCAGGCCCACAACAACATCTTTGTCGTAATAATTTTCTTCATTTCTTTCTTCCTCTTCTTGCTGTCCTTGGTTTCTCCTTCGCTTGGGTTTTGCATACGGTTTCATCATAAAGGTTTTAAGAGGAAATGCAGCATCACTGACAAACGTAAAGGGCATTGGTTCCACCATTCCAGGCCAATGCTGAAGGAAAAGTAAATCCACTTGTCCTCTGTCCAGGCTACGACCAAAGTCGGAGTTTGCCCACACTCCACCATCAGAAATGCCACCTGAAAAAAATTAATAGTTCTTATTTAGCAAACAAGCATTATCATAGGTTTAATTCCACACAATACCTTAATAATACACATACCATAGTCACCTATATCTACCCATGTAAATTTATAGTTTGCATTGCAGGCTGCCATCAAAACAATTGAAAAAAATTTTTTGTAGTTATAATAAAGTAAGCCTGTGCTGGGGGAGCTTGAATTCTAATATGTTTTCCGTCTGCTCCCAAGCAGTTGGGGAAATTCCATTGGTGCCAAAACCCTTGTACAATTTCTTGCCAGTTATTCCTCTGCATTAGAGGTAAATATATTGGCTGCAATGCTATCCATATTGCGGCACAAGTCTCTGGGATTATTTTATACACAGTTGAACGTCCAATCCGAAAACTCCATTTCTTCTGCCACACACTATCGGCATGACCAAGATATCTACAACATTAAAGTAAATATAATCTTAACTCCAATATAAAGACTCAAATAATATCCAAAATTAAACAAAAATCAAGAACCAAAAAGGATATCCAGCATCAGACTCTTTGACTCTTAATTTTTGTTTAATTTTGGATATTATAATTTTGAATTACAATTTCTGATTATTACACTACGGCATACATAGAAAAAACAAAATTAATTAATTTACTCCAAAGTGACGGCAAGACGCAGCTCTGGTGGAAAAGGTCGTCGCATGCTCTTCTTCTTCAAAAAAGGACCAACTTTTTCCAACAACCAGTCCAACCAAATTGTGTAGGAGTCATTCTTGTGTACTTATAAAATTCTTCGTGATCTGTTTCTTTTAATTCATGAAACAAGTTCATGAAATTCCCTTGCTGAGTGAATAGCCTGTTCACAGGTCTGCCCCACCACCTAACATTATGTAAATAAAAAATATTAGTCACCTACTTCGATGTTCCAATAGCTAGATAAATCATTTTTATATTTATACTAGATAAAGAGAACTAACCTTCGACCATTATGTCTCATGAAGATGTGATACGCTCCCACCGTGAAAGATTATAACATCATTTACATCACCATAATTATAATTATTTCTTCATCGTCCATTTTCACAGAATTTTCACTTTCGTCACTCATCACGTTTCACCAGCGATCACCGGTATAAACAACGACAATGGTTTGAGGTCAATGAAAGTCAACAGTCACCTTTTCAAAAAATCAGTTTTCCTATTGGTCCAGCTGAGAGATTCGCTTTACGACTAGCGACTCATTGTGGATACGAAAAATTGATAGAGTCACCGACTTAGGTTAAGACTTACGACTTCCGATTTCCGATTACCGACTACCGACTCATTGTAGACCCGGCTTATGTCCAACAAGCCGCGTGACGAGCGACAAAAAGGAAAACTTCGTTGTTCTTGTCCCACGCTTGCTTCGTGCGGTTACTGCGAGCAGGGCGATGCGAGATCCTTGCCTGGTCTCGTTCCGAATATCCGTCTAGGTTTCACGTGATGCACGGAAAGCATAAATCACTATTGCTCATTTGACGAACAAACCTTTCTGCGTGCAACGCCAGTTAACCTCAATACCACGTGCTTTCCTTGTATTGCCCGGTTTGCAATATTATCCGGCTCGAAGGACCATGTTTGCAGCTTTTGCTTAGCTGGGTGCTCGGCACGTATTTTATTTGTAGGCTGGTTTACTCAATTGACTCACGCTAATCTTGCTTAAGCACTTTTTATTTAACTCTTTATTTTTTTACATGCGTTCACGCGTACGCGTAGACATACGTGCTATTACTGATACCTACACGCGGCGCACGGTGGCGCAGTTATACAATTCTGAAGCTCTCCTGAGAAACATATCGAAACGCAACTAGTGATATTAAACACAAATCAAAGTACAATATTCGCCAAACAAGGCGTCACAGAGAACGATACTCAAACTGATTTATTCAGAAAACGATAACCAAGAACGATACTTCCAAAAACGATACTCCGGAAACGGTATTCGGAGACAACAGTCGAAACGATACTCAAACGATATTTGGAAACGATACGCAAAAACGGCAATCGGCAACGGCACGCCAAACGATACTTAAAAGCGGCAATCAAAGCGGTACTCAAAGAGATACTCAAAGAACGACACGCAAAACGGTAGCCGAAAACGTTACCTACAACGATATTCAAACACGATAATTGGAACGCAAAACGACACTTAGAAACGGCAATCGAAACGATACGCAAAACAATACTCAGAAAAACGGTACGATAAACGATACGGTAATAGATTTGCCAGACACGCTCCAGTCTCCTCCAAAACTGCGATCTTCGAGATTCCGCCACGAAACGACGCTCCAGTGCAGGTCCCAAACGGTAACACCGAAAGACACGGAGACAGAGGGAGTCCTGCCAGAGACGTTCCAATTTCTTTAAAGGCGTGAATCTGGAATCTCGCCCAGAGACGACGTTCCAAGGCCAAATCCGTACTAACGGTAGCTGATAAAATTCGGTAGCCGACAAAAAGATAATCTCAACGGTAATTTCGATAGAGGCACTCAAGTTTCCGCGACGAGTTGATCGTTACGCCACAAGGCCGAATTCAAACTCTCGCTGCGAGACGGCAATGCACTCCATGCAAATTCCGCGACTCGAAGTCTCTATCAAACGGTATCCTCCCAAAACGTCAACGGTAACAGGTAACTCCGGTAAGACGGAGACGGTAACAATATAATCCGGCAAGGGAAAGTCCCAGTTGTGTACAGAATAAATCGGACACAGCAAGTTGAACGAATCAAACACAGTGCCAATCGGACACAATAGAAAACGGACAAAAGATGGTTGCAATCGGACACATTGAAAATCGGACACAGTGCTAATCGAAAACAGTAACAAATAAACACACGATGGTTGCTATCGAACACAGTGCCAATCGGACACAGTAACAAATGGACACACGATAATGGTAATCGGACACATAACAATCGAACACAATAAGAAACGGACACACTGTGGTTGGACTCGGACACAGTGACAATCGGACACAATGGTAATCGGGCACAGTGGCAATCAGACACAATGCTAATTAGACACCTTTACCTTGTTAGGTATAACCTGAGGAGGATTTGTTATTTGTTTTACGCGAGGGAGAGGCTTCGCCCCGTAGGGGCAAAGTCCTCTGCCGCCTACGCGTGAAATTTCAAACAAAGCGAGGTTCAACATGGCTTTACGAGTTTCTACACAAAGCGAGGTTTAATGCAAATCCAATGTTCAAATTTAGCGCAGAGTAACATTAAGTATAATGTTTATGAATCAAATACATGATTCGATTATATTCAACTATGTTTATTTAATTTTAATAGATTCTTAAAACAGAGAAGATTTTATATACAGAAATATTATATAGAAAGAAAGCGAAAAATTAACAGATTAAAGTCGTTATAGTAACGTTTTTAGGGTTAGGAAAACTGTCACGGAGTATGTGTCCGATTGCAACTACCGTGTGTCTGTTTCCTGTTGTGTCCGATTATCATGTGTCCAATTGCAACCATCGTGTGTCCGTTTTCTATTGTGTCCAATTAGCATTGTATCCAATTTTCAATGTGTCCGATTGCCACTGTGCCCGATTACTATTGTGTCCGATTGTCACTGTGTCCGATTCCAACCACAGTGTGTCCGTTTTTTATTGTGTCCGATTATGTGTCCGATTACCATTATCGTGTATCCATTTGTTACTGTGTCCGATTGGCACTGTGTCCGATAGCAACCATCGTGTGTCCATGTGTTACTGTGTCCGATTGGCACTGTGTCCGATTTTCAATGTGTCCGATTGTTATTGTGTCCATTTCTTATTGTATCCGATTGTTATGTGTCCAATTGCAACCATCTTGTGTCCGTTTTCTATTGTGTCCGATTGACACTGTGTCCGATTCATTTAACTTGCTGTGTCCGATTTATTCTGTGCGTAACTGGGACTTACTCTCCGGCAACGGTAACTGATAACTCCGGTAAGACGGAGACGGTAACGATATAAGTCTTTCTCGGATTACGAGCGTTCGGACTGTCGACGGCTCAGCGCCTCGAAGAGGGCTACGGTAACCGGTAACCGGGGTCAGCCAACCTCCGGCTCCAACACTCACGGTATCGGTACTTTCTATTTCGATAATTAAGAACAATCGCGGCATTTTAGCGGTAAATGAACTTGCCGGAAGCCTTGGCTTTGGCCGGTATTACTAAATTATAGCTACCCTGGGTGATGGCCTTACAAAGACGGTACGGCCACGCTCGTCGGGACCCTCTGGTTGGAGCTGCTCCTTCCCGGTTGCTGGCTCGTTGAACAGTGATCTTTCTGAGGTCCCCCTGGCCCATGTCGAATCTCCGCGCATTGGTCAGCGTACTCTATTTATAATTTTTCTTAAATCACCTTTCGATCACAAACAGCTCCGACCTCGTCCATTGTTTATCTGGTTTCTCGTGCTCATCAACAGCCGATAATTTGAAATGTTGAATTTCTCTTAGTTAGATGTCCTCCGGTTCGATCTGCCCGGCTGGCCAGGCCAAGGCTACACCGACCGTCTGTTCGGATTCTCGGTGATGGCAGCAACGTCATCCAGCCTTCTGTCGCACTGCCGTGCTCCCTTTATCGTGGACCTTGTCGGGGCTTCCCCATAACCTCGGCCCTGTAAAGTTGGAGGATCGATAACTGCTATTATGATAATGTTCTACGCGATACTCGATACATGACGTTTTATGGGTGTTTCGGGCTTCCTCTCACTGTCGCGAGGTCGTCTTCCTAAATCCCACGGCGTTTGCTTCTTCTTGACGTTAGTTACACAAGACAATAAATTGGTCATACACTCTAACGCTAGAATTCTAAGCTTGTCGGTAAATTTTTACAATTTAAATAAAAGCGCGAGACTCGCTCCCGCGAGAAATCACTCCCTCTTTGACCGAAGGGACGCAACTCCAAATTTCACCTCCTTCGGTCGGGCTACTGCCCTTGTAACGGGCGCGACGGAAAGCGTCACGTCACAATATATTCTTATAAAAATTGTTGGCAAACGCGGATTGAACCACGTCAGTGAAGATTTGCTGAGGAAGGAACCGAGGGACGTGGCCATAAGAAAGAAAAACGAGAGTAATGGCATTCGTGATTGAATCTTGGAAGATATAAGAGAAAAAGAAGGAAGTGCGAGCGCCAGAGAGACTGATTTTTGAGATTGAAGGATTTTGGTTGTGAGATCTAGACGACGAATGCACAACACGAAAATTATATCAGATAAGTCGCTTCTTTTGTGTATTATTTGTCTTGCTCGAAGATCCAATTATTATGTTAATAAATAACGGTTAAAACTTCTTTTCTTGGGTATTACTTTGTAACGGTGCGTATTTTTACGTCTCACGGGCGGTGCGTAGCAATGCGGAATTTCGACGGTGCGTAGGTAGCAAAGCTGATTCGTACGACGCGGAATAACTCGCCAGTTCGCCAGAATTCGTTCGTGGGGTTTTCGGGAGACTCCAAATTAATAAAAACAAATTAAAGAAACAAAATAAACATTTATTCAAGAGAGCATTTGGACTAATGATATAATTATAAAAGAAAGGTATAAACATTTAACAATGAGTACATAAGCATTTCCCTATCGGTTAATCTATCTAATGTTTCAACGGTATAAACGGGTACAAATCTAAATGTGAACGAATGGACAACTATCGGAAATAATCGGATAACAAACAAACTGCGTAAATCGTTAAACGTGGTGCGCCTTTGGCCGAAATTAAACAACTTAAATTATTTAATTCTAAACTAATTTTGGTCGGTTAGAAAAATACGGCAGAGATAACATAAACGTATGAGTATAATTAATCCTAAATCGGTCGGTTTTCGTACGGCACGGTGTAAAAATATTAAAAAATAAGCGATACCGCGTGTATCCGAGCCCTGCTGAGTCGTCGACGGTTGCCGGTGCGCTGTGTCCGAAGACGGAGAGAATCTTCTCTCGTGCGAGGGATATAGCAAGTCGAACGCCGGGAACACCCGACCGAAGCAAGGAACGCCCTGCTCCTAGAACGACGGAAAGTCGGAAGTCGAACGCCGGGAACACCCGACCGAAGCAGGGAACGCCCTGCTCCTAGAACGATGGAATGTCGGAAGTCGAACGCCGGGAACACCCGACCGAAGCAGAGAACGCCCTGCTCCTAGAACGACGGAATGTCGGAAATCGAACGCCGGAAACACCCGACCGAAGCAGGGAACGCCCTGCTCCTAGATCGACGGGATATAGGAAGTTGAACGCCGGGAACACCCGATCGAAGCAGGGAACGCCCTGCTCCTAGAACGACGGGAAAGGATGGGAGCGAGTACGACCGGAGCTTCAGAGTGCGCCCTGAGGCTTGTCCGAGTCGTACTATGTATTTTTTTTACACCAATTGATTCTTTTCATTATTTTGTGCATAAAAGTGTTGAAGTAAGATAATTGAAAAATGAATATTTAACCAGATATTTCATAGTTTATGTAAAATTATGTCAAATTAAAATATAAAATATCTTGTAAACCATTCAATTTTTGGCCATCCTAGTCTTATAACTTTTTACGACAAATATTACAAGAAATCGATTTATATAAAAAAATTAATGTCCTTCCATTTGAAAAAATAAAGATGACCTTTAAATCTCAGAAGCGCCTCCATCCAAGGTCAAACTAATATCGCTATATTTTTTTCCTCTCCAAACCCTATAACTTTTATTTAAAAAATTTTTTTATTTAACTCGGTGTTTCTGAGATATTTGAGTGGATCGTTTAAAATGGGACACCTTGTATTTCTCATTACTCTTAATAGCATTACAGGCATAATAAATACAAAATATATTTTGTATTTATAGAAAATTATAAAGTAAGTAATTTTCCCAACTCGCCAATATACGCGCAACGCGCAAAAGTACAAGTACAGTGAGTATACAAAGTACAAGTAAATTATTTTAACCTGTAAATAACAGGTGTAAAAAAGTGGTACAATAGGGCTCCAGGCGACGATCCACTTAAAAAAAAATCGAACGCGCCATAAGTGGAACCTCAAAGGTGGTGCGGAAGACCACTACTTATTATAATAGTACTAATAAAATTACTAATCTTACATCTATTTGACTGCATTTTTAATATGTTACTGTGTTCCTCCACTAATCTCCACAGTACATGTATATGTAGTTACTGCAGTAACTCTTGCTAATATGCAGTAGTTT